AAAAAAAAAAAAAAGGATTCTCTCTCTCTCTCCTGCTCCATGCTCTGCGTAGAGACTTCCTGAGATTCTCTCTCTCTAAAACAACATTGAAAAACATTATCTTCTTTAAAAGATAATTAACTGTTAACCAAAAATAAGTGTCACAGAGAGTCGACACAAGGAATCTAGTCATCCACTCATGTGCAAGTGAGTTACTTAACCGTCATTCAGCTGGCAGGAGGGCCAGGGAATATAAATCAGGTTTCCTGATGCCTTGTCCAGATTTTGCGCTACCTAACTGAATGACGACAGATACAAAACTCCTTTCAAACAGACCGGAAACTCTTACTCTTTCTGGTTTCCAGGTCAGAAACTCTTCTTCCTTTTCAGTCCTTCCTCTCTCCATTCCTTCCTTGCTCACACACCCCCTCGTGACAATATTTACACAGCGCTCTATAGCTGCCAACTCTTCCGTGTCTGTTACCTCACTTGATCCTAAGAACAACTCCAAGAAATGCCTAGGTCAGGGGTTTGCATCTTCTTGATCTTATGGATGCAGAAACTGAATCTCGGACCGGAGTTAAATTCCCCGGGATAAGGGATTCATAGCTTGGTGAAGGCAGGGCTGAAATTTCAATCTTCTGACTCTAGCGTGTGTGCTCATTCCATCAGCCCTAAGTTGGGTCTCTCGTGTGCCTGAATCCCATGTTGCTTGGGCATTCATTTTACTTCTCAATTATTTTCTCACACAGGCCGATTTTGTCCCTCAATATAGAATTCTACATTGTCAGGTTTTTGTTTTTCATTCAGTACCTTGAAGATGTTGCTGCACTGTCTTTTTGTACACATTGTCTCTACTGAGAAATTTTCCATCATCCTTAACTTTGTTCTTTTTTTTTTTTTTTTTTTTTTTTTTTTTTTTTTTTTTGAGGGGTGGGGAGGGTCAGAGGAAGAGAGCAAATCTTAAGTAGGCTCCACACCCAGCATGGAGCCCAACATCAACACGGGCTCAAACTCACAAACCATGAGATCATGACCTGAGCCGAAATCAAGAGTTGGACGCTTAACCGACTGAGCCACCCAGGTACCCCTTGTTCATTTTTTTTTTTTTAACTTTTGGTGATTAAAAGTTTTGCTCTGTCACTGGTTTCAAGCAATTTTTAAATAATGTTCCTTGATTTTTTTTAAATGTACAATGTACATTAAAAGATGTAAGGTTTTACGTGTGTGTGTTTCTTGTGCTTGAAGCTCATTGGGCTTACAGGTTTCATCAAGTTTCAATTTTTTTTCGGCCATTATTTCTTCACATATTACTTCTGTCTTCTCCTTCTCCTTCAGGGATTATGTACAGCTGGAAAGATAAGGATAAGCTTCCTATAATGAAGCGATTTGAGATAGGCTTTGAGAATTGGCCAGGATTTGAACTGGTGGAGATGTGGGTAGAACACTTGATAACTTATTATTTTGAGAGACAGCAGAGCAAGCACGAAGTGGGGAGAGGAAGAGATTCCCAAGCAGGCTCTGCACTGCCCCATGTGGAGCTTAAACCCAGGAACCATAAGATTGTGACCTGAGCTGAAGTCAAGAGTCAGACGCTTAACCGACTGAGCCAGCCAGGTGCCCCTTGATAACACATTTAATACAAGGGGATCAAGAGAGGAAAGAGGACACCAATCTCAGCCCGTGTGGCTGGGAGAATACTGTTTCCACAGGCAGAAATGAGGACTAATGGAGTTTATTAAAGAGGAAGATGTTGAGGGGCGCCTGGCTGGCTCGGTCGGTAGAGCATGTGACTCTTAATCTCAGGGTTATGAGTTCAACCCCCATGTCGGGTGTAGAGATTACTTAAAAATAATTCTTTTTTAAAAAAGAGGAAGTTGAGTTCATTCTATGGTTGAGCCTGAGGTGCTTTTGTGACCTGTGACTAGAGAGTACAGCAGGCAGAGTTATTAATGTAAGTCTATTGCTCAGGAACAGGATTGGGATAAGAGACCCGGATTTGGGAATTACCAGTAGAGAGGTGGCAGCTGAAACCACAATGGGTGGAATTCTTAACATGATGGCCAAAGAAGAGGCCAAAGAAGGCCTGGTCATTGAGACATTCTACTTCTAGCAATTTATTATAGGAAAAGATTAATAGTTCACAACAATCCATAAAAGGAGATTCATTGAAGCACTCTTTATAATCAAAAACAAACTAGAAATGACATGTCCCACAATGGAGAATTGCATAAATAAGTGGAATATACGATAGGATACAATATACCCATTAAAAATGATGATTTAGAAGAATATAACAAAAAAATGTTCACTTTACAAACAAAAAGCAAGTAATGAGATCACAATATACAGTGTGATGCCATTTTTAATAAAAAATATATATGGTCTTTATTTTCTTTTTGCTTATCTACATTTGCTAAACTCTCCACAGTAAGTAGCATGACTTCTACAGCTAGGAAAAAATCTATGACAATTTCTTAAAAACTGACCTAGAAGAACTCTTGTGGATTTCGAGACTGTGTGGAGGATGGCCAGCAGGAAAGGGAGCGGAAAAGGAAGCAGACAATTCATGGAGAATCAGGATTACATACCAGCTTGGCCAGAGGGGCTGACACTGGGACACTTACCAAAGTAGAGCTGTCTGAACTCCTGGAAGAGGCTTTGGATTTGGTGCTCTGAGTTTTTGTGACTGCTCTTAAGAAGCGTGATGGAGAGAGTGGTCACTCCCTGGCCCAAGAGGTCTTATGATCATACAGTCAGTCCCTCAGAGGCCTGTCTTGCACGGGGATCCAGCCTCACCGTGCACCTTCTGGGCTGGGTGGCCACTTCCTTGCACTTGCCCTTGCATCGGATCCCTGTCCAGGCCTGTTGTCGAGAACCAGGATGTTGCAAAGCCCCTCAGGTAGCAGTTTCCTACAGAGGTTGTTAAATGCATATTCCTAGGCCCAGTCCCAAACCATCTGAATAAGAGTATCTGGCTATCTGCCTTGTGAATCCTGAGTATTAGGAATCTGCCTTTTAATAAGCCTCCTTAGGAATTCAAGTTGCAGACCTCTGCATTCAGGCCTGTGCAGTGCAATAAACCTCCTTCCCTTAGGTTTCTGGCACACAGAGTCAGAGAGAACTGAATCTGGACGTTTCTGTAAATTAGCACAACTAAGTCTTTCGGTCACGCATCAGAAATTCCAGGATATGAGAAAAAACTTTCTGAATTCAACAGACACCATGGCCTTGCATATGTCCTGGGAGCCTTTTGGAGCTGGGCCTCAGTACACAACCGGAAGGGAAGAATGGGCGTGGCTCTCCCTGGTGACAACTTGTCAGGAGAGGCTTTCAGAGACTTTTCCCAATCGGTCTGAGCTGAGAACTAGTGCAGCTCCATTCTCAAAGGCCCAAGCAGCCAGAACGCAGAAATCAATCCACTGAGGCACTCCACCTGTGAAGCTGGAAAGCTGTTAGATAGTGGTCAGGAGTAGGGGTGCCTGGCTGTCCCAGTCGGTGGAGCGTGTGCCTCTTGATCTCGGGATTGAGTGTAGAGATTACCTAAAAATAAAATCTTAAAAAAAAAAAAAAGTCAGAGTTAGATGGGCCAAAGGGAGGGGCCTCTGATGAAAAGCAGATCAGGATTCAGAGGCCAAAGATTATTCCTGAATCTAGACAGGAGACCTCAGGGGGCACCCATCCATCCCATTATAAAAGGTATATAAAAGGTATATGCTAGATTGTATTATGGTTTCCAAGGATTTGATGTAAAATCCTATTCCTCACACGCTGACACTGGCTTGCCCACATGACTTGCTTTGGCCAAGCACATGTGAGCGGGATTGATGTAAGCCACTTACTTGCAGCAACATTAAGATCTGTCATCTGGTTCTGCCATCTCTCACTTCCTTCCTTTGCCGCAAGACCAGCATGTTTCAGATTGGGTCTGCCTCTTGTCTGGGTGCCAGAATGAAGAAGTGGAGAGGGTGCCTGGGTGGCTCAGTCAGTTGAACCAGCCAACTCTTGATTTTGGCTCAGGTCATGATCCCAGGGTGGTGGGATCATGCCCCAGGTAGGGCTCTGTGCTGAGCGTGGAGCCGGTTTAAGATTCTCTCTCTCTCTCTCTCTCTCTCTCTCTCTCTCCCACTTGCATGTGATCTCTCTCTTAAAAAAAAAAAGAAAGAAAGAAAAGAAAAGAGGTGGAGAAGAATTGCAGTCAACCTCTGAAGGACACATAACAGAGCAAGAAATGAACCCCTGAGATTTTGGGGTCATTATTACCATAGCCCAACCTAGTCAGAGCTGACCAGTAAAGAAATAGTTTTTTTAGGGTTGTGAAAACAAAACAGTAGTATTCCAATGAATTTTTAAGGAAAACTACCCATATTTATTCCTTAGCCTAACCAAATAGTTTTAATGTTTACATATGCCTACATGGAAATGTGCTGAAACAGACCACTGCACTTTATGTTACTTGTACACTTGGATTTCTTCAGAGAAGGAGCCTGGTGGTGGAGGAGGATCAACTCCCCACTAGAGGAGGCCAGAGGAAAGGGCTGTCCGTGGAGCCAGTGACCAGCACAGAGCCATCTGTTGTGAGGCAGAGAAGTGAAACTGAGCAAATCTATTTCCTTGGCATTGTTAGACCGTTGGAGAAAGTAATGCCAAGTTCTTTCTTTTCTTACAGTCTGTCGTGCCTGTTTACTGTCCTGCCAAGGCAGGGGTGGATTTCAGCCCTGTTCTCTGATCTTCCATTTCCTAAAGCCTCAGTCCCACCACAGGCTGGGACCCTGCAGGCCGTAAGGTGGAGTTTACAGAATTCAGCACCGAACAATGCAGGCATCAGCTCTGCCCTCCTGGGGCCTACAGTCTGATGGCGTAGAGAAATAAACTTTTTTTTGTTTAAGTTTATTTATTTATTTTGAGAGAGGCAGAGACAGCCTGAGGGGAGGGGCAGAGATAGAGGGACACAGAAAGTCCCCAGCAGGCTCTGCACTGCCAGCACAGACCCTGACAAGGGGCTTGAACTCACGAAACCGTGAGATCATGACCTGAGCCGAAACCAAGAGTCGGATGCTTAATCGACTGAGCCACCCAGATACCCTTAGAAATAAATAAATTTATTATGTATCGAATCATTACAAATTGGGTAAGTCCTCCAAATGAGACACACAGGATGCTGTGATGGATTGGAAAAGCACGGACGGTACGCAAGAATCTATTTAAAACAGAATTTTAAAACTGCCAACTGGGGAACATTAGTCAACCACAAACTCTATTTAGATGTTCATGATCACATCTTTAAAAAAAATGAGATAGAACTGAGTTTGGAGGTGAATAAAATAGCATCACATGTGGTAAGTGTAAATATTGTTTCATGCAACTGTCATTTTTGTTGTGTGTATGTTATCTATGTAGTTCTTGGCTCATAATCTAAAATGTAGTTGTTACAATGGATGGTGGTAAAAATAAATTTGAAAAACTAATTAAGATATGGCCTCAGGGAAGGTTGCTTTGAGGAAGACATCGCGCTGATAACCAAGGTGGGAACATGCTTGGCGTCCTCCAGGACAGGGGGAAGGCTGGCTTGTTTGAAGCATGGAGAACAGGAATACAGTTCTGGATATGGTCAGTGCTGCAGAGGAGGAGGGACTGAATCCCTCTTTTTGCCATGAAAAAGAATTTGGATTTTTCTTTTTTTAAGTTCATTTATTTGAGAGGTGTGGGAGGGGCAGAGAGAGAGAGAGGGAGAGAGAGAATCCTAAGTGCTATCAGCGTAGAGCCCTACTGCGTGCGTGTGTGTGTGTGTGTGTGTGTGAGTGTGCACTCCATCTCACCAACCCAAACCATGAGATCTGACCTGAGCTAAAACCAAGGGTCCAGCACTTAAGGGACTGAGTCACCAAGGCACCAGCCACCCCCACCCCACCCCACTCCCAATTTGGATTTTTCTATAAGCGAAGTTGCAAGGTTTAAGAAAAGAAGTGATTTAGGGGCACCTGGATGGCTCCCACTTTGGCTCAGGTCATGACCTCACAGTTAGTGAGTTCGTGCCCCACATCGGGCTCTGTGCTGACAGCTTAGAGCCTGGGGCCTGCTTGGGATTCTGTGTCTCCCTCTCCTCCCCCCTACTCCCTCCCTCTCTCTCTCAAAAATAAATAAATAATAAAAATTAAAAAAAGAAAAGAAGTGATTTTAAGGTTA